CAGAAGAAATGGGTTTAGTGCCCAGAAGAACAGGTGGTGACGTGTGCACGGGGGTGCTAGGAAAGAAATGAATACTGGCGCGCTCGGGCTGTGTCATCGCTGTGGCTGCAGTGCATGCTTGCGAGCGTGATAGGTTTTGTCTCGTAGCCCAAGTCCAGGTCCGGTGGTCACGGCTCGTCGAAATATGTAGGCGTCGCTTTTGGTTTGCATTTCTCTTCGGAGAATGTAAATGCGCCTGTCTCCTTGACAAGTTCTGTTGGCGCTGCTACACCGTTTGTTGACCAGTAGTTCCAGGAGTGCCAGCTCTCGTCCTTCTGCAGCCTGAGTGTCCGTGCCGGTTCAACTATCGGGTGCAGCCCTTGATGTTGTGCTCGGGGGTTTGGAGTGGTTCCCCGCACTGGCAGCTGGTGTCTTCTCCAGGAAGGAATTGGTGCCGGGTGACTATGAAGTTGATCTGAGCATGGACCCATGGAAAATCCAAAAGGCCATATCAGCAAGGAGGGAAGGTGGGAAGCGAGTACACCTTTGGCAAGGCCAATAGGTGTAAGGAAGAAGGAGGTGAGTAGTGGAGAAACTAGAGGGCAATAAGCGAAGTCAGAAGTCTAGTTGCACAAAACCATTGTTCTTTACGCAATATTTGACTGTGCATCTGATCATGACTTACGTACGTGATCGCGATGGCGTACATTAATCATAAATTCATAATAAGGAAATGGTCACTAGTACTGAAGACTCCTAGGCCTACAAAGGCCCAGAAAAAATGCGCGCCCTATTACTGGTTCTGGAAATCGTCGGGGTGTGACGTGACTCAATTCTGCCACATTCTAACCACACTTTGATCAGTGCCTAAGATCCGAATATATTCACCTTACAAGTCAGCGATCAAATGGAAACCCATTGAGACATTTATCCGGGTCATATAATGTAAAAATATTCTCTAATATTATCAGCTTTTTTCTCGTGCCTTGCTGCTAGATATATTATTTATATCTTCCCTCTTTCCTTACATGGTTTAAGCAAAACAATTTGTAATTATATTCTGGTAAAAAGTGGACAGTAAATACTAGACAATTTGAAGAATAAATTTTAAGTTCTTTCAAGTTTTCTCCAGCACTTCAAACCAAAACAAGATTTTATTATATACTCGTTTTAATCACAATTTCCCCGCTGCACAAACAAGCCAACTCCCCCAGTGAGAATAAGAAAACACGAGCGATCAAAGAAAGCTGAAATTAGCACACCGGCTTTTCCCGCGTGCGCATCAATACTGATGTGTTTGAATAATAATAACCGGACACTACAAAATCTGTAGTGTCTTTCGAGAAAGACTATAAAATACCATTATACCCTATTAAAATACCTTGGCTATTTGCTTTCAT